GTTCTCTTTTCGTCTGAGATCTTCAAGTGTGTGATTGCTACACGGAAGAAACGATTTTATTAAAAATTTAGCTACAAATTCGAAAATAATTTTGTTGACTATATAACCGATATTTATAGTCGATTCGTATATTTTAAAACTGTATCTTAATTAATACCTGAAGATGTCAATGGCTCTGCGATTGGCTTATGATATCTTAAGATTATACTTAAGATGGCTTTATGAAAATAATTATGTAGAATACTAAAGTATAATGACCATCGTTACAAGAAGTTTCTAGCACTCATTGAGCGTTCTATATCCTAAACAAAACAAAATATTTGGTAAATCTATTATAATTCTAGTTGATATAATCAGAATTCTGATTGCGATATAATCAGAATCTTTTGATTCGTTTATTTTCAATCAGAAATTTTCTCAATGTATATTTATTTTGATCCAACAAAATTATTTTTATATTTGTATCAAGCGACATTAAAAAAAATACTTTAACAAAGTCGTTCTTTCGCGTAGCGTCGTGGACTCAAAGCTTTACGGAACGGATGGCGATGCGGATATAACAACGGTTTTTCTCGACGACGCCGACGCGACGATAGTGGTGTCTGTCGGACGCATCTCCGATCGAGCCCCCGGCAGCGGACAGACGGCAGTTCGGCTCAGCTTTGCCTGACTCGGCTCGGCTCGGCTCGGCTTGGCCAAAGTAGTGGGGCCGGCCGGTGCAGCGCGGCGCGGCGCGGCGCGGCGCACCCACACGTGTGGCGTGGCGTGGCGTGGCATGGCATTACCTCGCATACCTTGATACCTCTCGGACCATCGGCGTCGGATAGAGCGTAGCGATTCGCTACACTCGCTACATCCACCGCGTGCGATCGAGGTAACACTAAACACGCCGGACGACACGAGTTCTCTCGATTAACCCTTGCTCGCACGAGCGACACATATACATATAGTTGGGCCTCGTGGACTCCACGGGCCGCGGGGGCCCCAGTCGGCGGTCGCTCCCTGCAGGCTGCCGGCCCTTCCATAAAAGAGACGGAGCCGAGTGGCCTAGGGACAGTTGTCATTGCGAACTTACCGGAAGCGGTTATCTAAGAAAGACCGGAAAAATTGACATTTCATTACATATCGTTTTTGGGCTACGTCGGTTGACGAGGAGATAACGAGCTAACGTTATCGCCTCGATAATCATTCGGCGCTTTTCTCTTGGCGAAAAGATCGGTGCATGAGAGAGAGAGAGAGAGAGAGAGAGAGAGAGAGAGAGAGAGAGAGAGAGAGAGAGAGAGAGAAAGAGCGCGGTATAGCGGTATAGCGGTATAGCACGTGGCTGCGTACTATTATAAGAGAGGAGCGAACGTGCAACGGCAGACAGAGCGACGCTTCCGTTGCGCATTGGCAAGGAGGTGTCGCGCATCGGTGATCGAGTCGTCTTCGTATCGCAAAGAAAGGAGAGAGGGGAACGTACGAAAGTGGAAAAGCGTTTTATATTAGGCGTGATCGCGCGCGATCGTCGGAATTCGAAGTGGGCAAGTGGCCGAAAATTCGGTCGCGCTCTACGACAACTTCCCGGTTCCCGCGATCTCGCGATCGCGTTCCCGCGTGGAAGAGGACACGGCCGCGCGCTCGCGCTTCGCGTCGCGGGAGGACCTCCTCCTCCTTCTTCTCCTCCTCCTCCTCCCACCAGGGAGGAGTTGAGTTGACCAGACGGCTCGCGGTCAGTCAGTCAGTCAGTCGGACGTTTGCTATCCGATACGCTTGACGCGCGCGCGGCGCGACTCGTGATCGGGAAATCAGAGCCGGCGCGGCCGCACCGTGTCAGTCAGACGCGAACCGGCACCGTAAAACACTGTCAAGTAGAAGTGGCGAGAAGTACGCGGTAGGTGAAGAGAATAAGAGACGTAGGCACGCGCGGATGGTGGCGCGAGAGCAGGGGCGCAAAACGAGACGAGGAGGAGAGCGATAGGAAGGAGAAAAAGAGAGAGAGAGAGAGAGAGAGAGAGAGAGAGAGAGAGAGAGAGAGAGACAAACGGAGTCGCCGACGACGACGACGAAGCAATCGCCGCTGCTCTCTGCTCTCCCGTGTCTCTTCGTCTCTCGGGGCATTCTCGTAGCGCAGCCGTGTACCTACCACCTTATAAAACGTGCGCCGCAGTATCGCGCGCTCTCGTGGCCGACGGTGCGCGGTGGTGCGGAGAGGCGCGAGAGGAGCGCGAATCGAGAGATCGCTCGGCGAGTAGCGGCTCGGAGTTGCGAGACTGCGAGAGAGCGCGGCGCGCGACCGGCGAGTAAGCTTTCTCGCACAGTTCTTCGCTTCGCTTCGCTTCGCTTAGCTTCGTTCCCTTCGCGCGAGACTGCGAGGTGTGCGGTAATGCGGAACGTCCGCGTGAGGATCGTCTTGGACTTTCGCGTATCATCTCGACGTCGCGACATCGACACGTCGAATCGGCCGAATAGAAAGAATAGAAAGAATAGAGGCGGAGTTGCGTTGCGGGTTTAAACGCTTTTCCTACGTATTTTTTCTTCTGCCATACGCACTACGCGCCGCGACGGAAGTAAGGGATAGGTTACGTAGTGCGAGATAGTGCAGAAATTTTTGTGCAGTGAACGGTCGTTAATAGACCAGTGCGACGACGACGACGACGACGGCGACGACGGCGACGACGGCGACGACGGCGACGACGGCGACGACGGCGAGGAAGGAGAGCGAGAAGGAGAGAGTGCGAGACAAATAAGGGAGGAGGAGGAGGAGGAGGAAGAGGAAGACGCGCTATATGCGTAAGGTACCAGCACGAGTGCCAGGACCGTGTGCGAGAGAGTAACCGGCTGATAAACGGCAGAAGGAGAAGAAAGAGAAAGAGAGAATAGGGTGGCCGTCGCGCCGCGTGAGAGACCGAGAGTCGCCAAGATGCAGCTTCACGGTGGTCTGATGTTGCCGATCCTATTTATCGTTGCTTCCTGTCCTTTGACGCTGCGCGCGCGAAAAGTCGCACCTTTGATTGAGGACGACTGGGCGAGGAGACCGCATCGGGCCGCCGGTGAGTAATGATCTATAAATCTTCTTTATCCGTTGTTTACCCTAAACTTGCCGACGGCTCGCTATCGAACGGTACGATCTTTGGGAAAGGTGAGAGGGTGACCACGAGACAAACGTCAAACGAAGATCCACCTCTTCTTCCGGTCTCGTCTCCCGAGGTTTCTCAATCTCCGTACTGTACATACGGCGATTTTTTCGCTCGGTTGTCGCCTGGGAGCGGTCTCTTGTCCTTTAAAGGTTAGAGAGACGTCGTACGTGGCGAACACGGCTATACGTGTCTCGGACTCCGCGGCTCCGTTCTGAGCGCGACCGCGACGGCCTTACATAATGAGGAACGCGCGCGAGAAGAAAAAGAAGAATAAAGAGATGGGAAGAAAAAGGAAGAAGAAACGGAGCGGCGACCGAGCGCACATCCGTGACGTGCTCCTTCTCTCCCTCCCCCTCTCTCCCCCCTCCCCCTCCCCGCGGTTCATCATAATGCTTTCCTCACGATGGCTTTGCGAGATTACGCTTTCACCGTGTAAAACGTGTTCCTCCATACCGTGCCACGGTTATCGCTAAAACGTGACCTTCGTTTGCGTCTACTTCGTGCGCCTCGTATTTTTTGACGAATTTGTCGAATGACGAGATCAACGTGAGATCCAATAATTGAAAGCTCTCGCCGCGCTGCGCCGCACCGTCTTGTCTTTGGCTGCGTTCGGTAGAAAAAGGCAACTTTACATCTGTTGTAACATCCTTCGATATAGTTGACTTGTGCATTTGTTTGTTTTTGATCCAGAAATTTAGGGTAAGACTAATCATATTAAAAAAGGTTTTTAATATAAATAAAATGTTTATACGAGTCTCCACTCGAATTGTTGGTACTTAAGTAATAGATTTATATCGATAAGACGATAACACATAAGTCACAAACAATTGAATGTATTTACCAACAAAGTTAATTGCAAACGATTTGTTTCGACTCTGGATTTGAATCCCCTCAGTACGAAAGTCAAAAGCCTGTTGCTTATCGAAGAACTCTGAACTGGAGCACCCTGTGCTCCAACCAAGTTAAAGTGTGTGAAACAAACTATATTTCACTTCAACTTATTGCACCGGTGTGCACCAGTTCAGAAAGTTTATCGATAAAGAACATATCCAAGTGCAAACTATTGAAGAATGTTACAATAGTTGCGAAACTGCTCTTTCTGCTGAACATAATCATTTATTTATTTTTTTAAGTGTCAAATTGTCGCGCGCCGCTATCGATGTTAAATCTCAGCTCTTGTTATCTTGATGAGTTTTTAAAATGCAAAATGTGCCGTATGTTTGTCTGGCATTTATCGTGCTTTGTAAAGTAAACCAGGAGTTTTCTACTTCATGACGTAGCGTTCAAATATCTTCTTGGGGGAATTGTTGCGCCGGGAGAGAGAGAGAGAGAGAGAGAGGGGGGGGGGGGGGGGGGGGAGGCTACTCGAGCAGAGAGAAAAGGACTCGTATAGCTCGTTTCTCTTCTTTATAAGGATCTAGCAATGTCCACCGGCTTGCTCGTGCCCTCTTTTTCCCTCTGCCAATTCCATTCTTCTTACACAGGTTTCGTTTTACCCGTTCTAGTTTATTTCTGTCTTATTTAACTATCCCGTCTCCTTTATCGGACGCGCGTCGTCGAACTGTGAACGCCCGTTGCGTCTGCTAGAGTGTTTACAACATTTATGTTTACGCACGCGAGGAGGATGGAAGATCAAAGATCTGCATAATTCGACCTGAACGAATCGCAACGTACGAGATTGCAATGATAATCGAGCGCCGCTTTTATGTCACGACATTTTCAAAACAGTAACAACGACATCGTATGGCATACAAATTTGATCGATCAATGCCGTGTGCGTATCGTACGTGTGTTTGCCGAATAATCAAACGAATTCGCAAAAGTTTCGGTTAAACGAACGCGCCTGTTTTTAATTCACGAGTATACAAAATTTTCTTCTTCACTGAAAAAAAAAAAGAATCTACGCAATTGGAAAATTTATATTAAATTTTATGTGTCACAAATAGTTTACTCAAATTTTTATGTTAATTAACACAAACATGTTAATAAATGCCATTCATTGTGTTTTTTTCCACTGTGATGGTTGCGCATTAATCGGAAGTTTAAAAGATTCAACCAGCCTATTTGTTCGAAAACAATCGCAAAAATCGAATTCTAGTCTCTCTTATAAAATATCGAATCATGGATAGGAGTTCTACTTTGTTTCACTAGAATGCATTCAACTATATACGTCTCGTACAATAAAATCGCATTTTTTTGTGTTCATACTTTCACACGACATTTTACATTATCCGATAGAGGCTTTCGGATGATTTAATTACCGTTGTACAACAATGTCGGAATGTTAAGAGTTAAGAAAGATTTATAGCTGCAATCCTCCAAAAATTGTATACCTATACATCCTACTGTATATACATTTATATACATTTGAAACTTGCCTCGATTGATTTCTGCTGGCCGTCAGCTTAAGTCTGTTTAAGCTGTCGACCCTGAGATACTTTTTTTTTACCATACTAACCATTTTCGGATCGTTCTTAATCGTATCCGATTAAGTAAATTCATTAGCAGGCTTGTCTGATTTAATACAGGGTTGTCCTTCTGAGGAGTCAGTTATCGTTTTGCAACTCTTCATTTCTTCCATGTTCGTTATTTCAGAATAGTTGTATATGAAAGGAATGATTTTGATAAAATATCTAAAAATCTTAGGTAAATACAAATCTGAAAACAATTTTATTGGCTATCAAGATAATTATGTAGAAAACTCGAGCATAACTCTGCAAAAATTTTTCACATTACCAATCAGTTTGAGCATTTTACAAAATTATTTTGTAGTTGAATAAATTATTTTTCAGATCTGTATTTATATCTAAATGCTTAGATATTTTTGCAAAATCGTTCTTTCCGTACATATAT